TTTTTGTGCTTTCTCTGAATCGAGAATTTAGTGAAGAGAACTCCGGAGGTCAACCTCGCTCCTTCGGTTGGGACAATTTGGTATGTGCATAAGTGTTGACGACAGTTTTTGGTTTTGAATAAACGAGCACAAAATGGGTGCTGCATACAATTTTTTGGAGTTGGCTACACTAAGGAGTATTAGTTTTTTGAAGAATGAGGCCCTCCGATATTTGGCAAAAGCCGAGAGAGCAACGCTTCCGTTTTTTCAACTTGTAGAAATATTTTATTCACATGTCACTTATGGCTGATCTTTGTATCAAGCCAAAATATTAGGTATGTAATGCTTTTTATACGTGATTGTTACACCTTAGATATCAAAATAAATTGAGTTTTCCCTTCTAACTAGTTAGAAATACGCTGAACTCCAGTGTTTGCTATATTATTAATACCCTCTTGCTATATTATTAATACCCTCTTTGTCTTTGGCAACCACTACTAAAGCTATATCATCTACAAAACCTATCAGTGCGTAGATCCCGCCGCTTGCTCTAGTTCAAGGAGCCTGTCTTAATGTTGAGCCCAGAACTAACCCTTGCGGTACTGCCCTGTTGATCTTTTTAGTTATTTTGGTAGCTTCTGCCTGAAAGGTTACCTCTCTATCTGAGAAGTATGACCTGATTATTCCGATCAAACTCTTTTCGCTTTTCCTCATCCATTTGTTGTCAAGGGATGATGGCACAAAGTGTACGATGTGCCTAATCATATTCTTAAACTGCATTCTGCGCAATTTGCAACATATATCGTCCGATTACAGCTCACGTGACCTGAGAAAGGCAAAAGTCAGGTTTCTGGATGAGCCAAGGCCTGCGATGTTCTTCAAGAAGACATCGTATATCGGCTCATTTTTATGTGTAGTGAATATAAAATGATCTATGTGTACTTTTGTTAGTCTTTTTTTCGGAATGGATTTGAACTAATCACATCACTAGTTTCTGAAAAATAAGCCAAATTCATCGCGCACGCTCGGGTAGCTGACTTGAGTAGTCCACGAGATTACGGATGAGCCTTTCAAACTTATAATTACTTCGTCCAGCTATATTTCGTTATTTAGATACCTGAAATGGATAACCACTGGTACAACAAACCTGTAGTGTTCTACACTGCATTTTTAAACTTGGTTATTATATCCTATTTCACCCAATGAAGACTATTATTGCTATTATTATTATTACTATCGTTACATTTTGAAGTACAAACATGCCATGTTTCATGAAATTCCTTGCGGCCATAGGAAGGTTTCGCTTGTACACTCCATCGATGAGCAGGGATCATCCAGTGAATTCTCCCTTCAATCATCTCTGCTCATATATCCGTTCGAGTATGTGGGGTCAGTGTTCGTGTGTATAAGATGCTTTTAAATAACTCATAACACGAATTCATAACACAATTCTCCGGGGTAAGAACGGTCCGACCCTCGAAAAAACCAATCCGGAATCGGCTGCTCCCTGTCCAGTCACATTGAGTTTCGTGACAGACTATTTTAAACAAATAGTTACAAAACTTCAGGTTTCCAACTTGAAAATTGACAAAATTCAATACAATCTTTGAATCCCTAGTTTTCTCCTTTGGACCTACCTGCATATTTCGAGGTTCTAGGTTCAGTAGATTCGGCTGTACGTTAATATAAGAGCGGTCAATAGCTAGTAATTTATATTTTCACTTTAAAAATACAATAACTGAAAAATATTCCAACTGCACTAAGTAATGAATAGCTTCGAGAAACGAGTTATGTTATCTATAGAGAAATTCGCAAAATTAATTCAACCGATAACGACGTCTGCTCTCACGCGTTTGGCCGCATTCAGGTCCCGTTCTCGGCGATGGCGCCGAGAACGTCGTTTTACAGTAGATGCGACGCGTAATGGCTTAATGCGTTGCGTCAAGTTAATCTTATCGTGATAACTTTCAAACAATTCGTCCAAATATACTTAGTATAGAATGTATATTGTAAAAAAAGTATCCAATATAATTGTATTTATGGCTTAGTATTTTGCATATAGTGGCTACCACATAAGAGGTAGCCATCGCGGACTTTAATTTAGAACTGTTTAATATAAAAGGTATCGGCAGCGCACCCCAAGATAGCTTTCAGGGAACAAGACTTTTTTCGACTTACTTGATACTTATCGTTATATTATGACTAAGATTACACGAAACCTTTGTAAATTGTAGCCTATATGTTATTCAGATGTATAAGCTGTAACTATGTGAAGTTTCATCCAACTCCGTTCAGTCGTTTAGGCGTGAAAGAGCCACAAACATACATACATACATCCATCCTCACAAACTTCTATATTTATATTAGTATAAATTACAATTTATCTATCTATCTATGTGAAGTTTCATCCAACTCCGTTCAGTCGTTTAGGCGTGAAAGAGCCACAAACATACATACATACATCCATCCTCACAAACTTCCATATTTATATTGGTATAAACTACAATTTAGAAAGAATTAAAGAAACTCATTAAAACGAATGTTGAGACAAAAATTAAAATAGATCAAATCGAATGTAGAGGGAATATAAACCTGACAATAATATCTATTAAAAATGTGAATGAATCGAAAACTCTTTGATCATGAAAAGGGATCCATGACGATATGATTTTTGCTTTAGATAATGTTATAATTATTTCCAGGTATTGAAACGTTAAATTTATTAATGTGAAATACGTGCGCCAGTACGGTAAGCTGACTTGATCGTGCTGATGAGTATTCTAGGAAAGTCTGAATTATTTTCTGACACATGCTGAATAAAAAATTTGTTAAACTCGGTTTTCCCAACATGATTTACCAAAAATCATGATTTCGAAGAACTCAGAAATGAATCGAAATTCTGAGAAATTGCAAAGTAGGTACATATTATGTATACTGTTTTCGAGCCGGTAGTTGAATCGAACACATTGGATCCTGGTTGACGAAGGAAAATTCTTGAAAGGTTCTGAGAAAAATGTTTGTAAGTAAGTTGGGATTTACATTGGATTTGAATCGTTGTAGAATAGTTGGAATTTACATTGGATTCGAATCGTTGAAGAATATAATGAATTTAAAAACGGATTGGGTAATTTTGTTTCACAATAATGTCTCACAACAGTAGACAGTTGTAGTTTGACAACTAACTCCCGGTAAACCTTAGCCGCGATACGTCCCAATTCTCAGAGTTGTATGAACGTAACATGATTTGAATTATATAATTATACAAATACACGAAACATATCGAATATCTTCAAAACACATGTGTTCTGAAAAAGATGCAAAAACACATCGATTTGTAATCCAAGAGCGACACCTTCCTATCATAACCTCAACTGTCATACCTCTTCCCCCACCCCTCGGTGATTATCACCCAAAAAATTTGAATAGGGAAAGTAGTAAGTGTGACACATCGCTAAAAAGGTAATTTCTTAAGTAGTTCAGCCATGCCAATTTTAGCTACCTAACTTTCGATTTTGGCGCCTTCTTGAGGAAAAAAAATGTTCCGTATTCCAAATTATGATACTTCATTAGCAAGCTAATTTGACATAAATTCGGTGACAATGCCTTATGGAGTTTTTCTAGGGGAAAAAACAAGATGGCGGCTTTACAATGGTGGACAAGATTTGCAATTATGGTCCGATTTGATTCAAAATTGATAAGTGGTGGTTTTCAGGGTCGAAAATTATGAATTGTTTTCAATGCAAAAAATCAAGATGGTGGCTCCAAAATGGCGGACGAAATTTGTAATTATGGTTCGATTTAACCCGAAAACGAATTCTTCAAAACACATGTGTTGTGAACATAATGCAGAAACACGTAAATTTTAAATCCAAGGGGGACAAATCTTATTGTTACCTCAACTGTCACACACATAAAAGCAATAATTAGACATACAACTTTTTTGTCTCTTGAATTTTTTTCGTATCTTGCTTAGTTTTTAAGAAAAAAAAGTCGACCTAATTGCATATCCCTAGACCTCACAGGAATAATATGGGGAATTAAATGTTTCTTTTGGAAATTATCATTTTTACAATTTTTCATTACTAATTATGTAACAATAACAACAAATATTTAATAACATCAACATCTAGACTAACGAATTGCACTAAATTAAGTCTTGGAAATACCTCCTTCGACTTCAATTCAACCGTCTAGCCGCCGCATCATTGAATTTCGCACTCTTCTGAAAATACCTGGCGTATTTTTTATTATGTCACATGAATTAATAATTTTATTCCGTAAATCATCTTCACTTTGAATAGCAGTTTTGTATACCAACGCTTTAAGGTGTCTCCAGAGGAAATAATCTAAGAGATTCATTTCGGGCGAGCGAGGTGGCCTTGGGTGTTGGCCTGTTCTCCCAGTCCAGCGATTATAGTAATTTTCATCCAAAAATTGCCGTGCCACTACACTAAAGTGTGGTTGTGTGTATACGGTATTGAAGCAGAAGGAGGCCATTTCCAACAATTAATTTAGTGCAATTCGTTAGTCTAGATGTAAATGTTATTTAATATTTGTTGTTATTGTTCCATAATTAGTAGTGAAAAATTGTAAAAATGATTATTTACAAAAGAAACATTTAATTCCTTGTGAGGTTCAAGGATATGCAATTAAGACCGACATTGAACTGGGCGCGAAAATAAAAAATACATGATATAAAATAGAATACAATGATACACAATCATTCACAATGGCATACAGTTACAATAGAATACATTACAGTAAAAAAAATTCGAATTCCAATCAACCATTCAATTCTATTCTATTCCATTCTTCAACAATTGAAGAAGAAAGGATGGTATTAGGTTTTTTCAAAAGTTTTGGTCGTTTTAGTATCATGTGTTTTTGTAGCTTCATATCTCAATACATATTTATTCTACTGTGTCGTGGTATATATTGATCAATAGAGAATTTTGTACTCTATACAAGTATATTGATGCTGTGCATTTATTTCAAAATATTATTGTTTTGCCTCCTTTCAGATTATTACTATATGATGTCACTGAGCGACTTTTGGTCCATTTGGCAATGATACTACTGCTACTGAACGCAATGTTTGACGTTGGTTACAAAATTTCGTTCTGGAGACTTTAGCTTCGATGTTGAGTCCTGAAGTGGTGCACTTACAGTAATCCAGGACGAGGATTTCATTGCCCTGCCGCAGTTGCAGTTGAAACTTTTGGAGATTATAACCAAAGAAGACCACGGCAAAACTCGGAAACCAATCAAAACACTGACGCCAGCCGTTAAAGCCTACATTCCTAGTTTTGAAACGTATTGGAGGGTCAAAAAGCTCGAATAGTTAATGCCCCATAATTTGAACGATTGAACGTTTCGAAGTCTGTTCTTCTTTGCTTTTGTTTCAATAAAACGATCCTTTTTGAAACGGATCGTCACGTGTGATGAAAAGTGGATTTTCTATGACAAGAGAATACATTAAGGACAGTGGTTGGATACTGATGAGCCACCCAGGCACTTCACAAAGGCGAAAACCCTCGAAAAAAGACTATCGTTACTGTACGGCGGACAGCAGCTGGTGGTTTTCTTATCTGCTTTTTCATAAAAGCAGATATTTCGAAACGTGAATTTTCGATTGAAAATTACAGTGCTTTTTCGATATTAAATCAAAATATAGTGAAAAAATAAATATTTCAAATCCTAAAAATTACGGTGTGTTTGGTTCACGAAAAGGAAAGTCTTAACGAAATTTCGTAAAAAAAATGTGAAAGATAAAAATAAAATATCAAAAACTTGGTTATTTGAATTTTTCACATAAATTTTGAGGTTATGTGAAGAAAGTGTGAATACAAAAGTTTGTCACTCAACTTTTTTTTTTCATAGGATTTGTAGTTTTGCCGGAAAGTAAGATAAACAGATTTTTGCCCTTGAAAACTCAAATTCAAAATAACTTCATCTGTTTGGAATTGAAAAATCAATTAGATTTAATATATATTGTTACACCTTCATTTTTCATTGAATCGTCGATATCGTTTTAATTTGTTGAGTTCATTTGTAGGATTCCCTGTTGATTTATATTACTAGATTGTGGAAGATGGGAAACTCGAGAAGATTGAAGGATATGTCTTTCAAAGAATAAGGTTTCATGGTTTCAAGGCGAGTATAAAGGATTTGATGTCCGAAATTATCAACGTTACTTATTGTTATAGTTCCATTGTTGAAATATTTGAAAACTGATACAAAAATAGCCCTGGAAATAATTATGATTACTATCAAATATTGTCGTATTTAATGAGTTGATACTCATTAGTGTTTTTTTTTTCTAATCGCGCATTATATGAACTGATGTTGACTCGCGTCAGTGATTTTTTCACACACTTGTCAAATATAAATAAACCACTCTATAATTGGGAAGATAACAGTTTTATATCTATTAGACAATTATGCAAGTATTCGTTCGACTATAAATATTGGAAACGTGGTTCAACATAGCTTCAAAATGTATTTCTATTCAGTACTTTCTGTAGTTTACGCGATTGTTGTCAACAATGTTCATGCTTCAAAGAATGTGATATATAATGATGGTGATAGTTTGGATTGGTGGCAAAATGCGGTTTTTTATCAGATTTATCCAAGATCATTTATGGATAGTAATGGTGATGGAATAGGAGATATTCAAGGTGATTATAATGAAATAGAGTATTTTTTAATCTTCTTTCCACCTGATTCAAAAATGTAATAATTGTTTTGATTAAGTTGACAGATAGCTAATTTGCTGTCAAAAATAAATCATTTTCAGAGGAGATTATTTTAGGGTCTGCGTTTTTACACACGTAGAAGTTGTCTACAACTACTACCTTTCTTTTTATTTTTTTCGATGTTTGCGGGACAGTATCTGTTTCGATGAAGCTTGCCGTGACACTACCTATGAATGCAAATGTTAATATTTTTGGAATAGAGGTATTCAGTAAAAACAAGCAAGTAGCAATGAGGGTTGATGGGTTTTTAATTGATGGTCAATTATTAGTTTAGTATGATAATGCGTAATTGAATTTAAATGAGTTTGTTTTTGAACAGTCTGTATTGCATTAAATTTCGGGTTTATTATAATATGGAGAACTTCGTTCAACATAGCTTCAAAATGTATTTCTATTCAGTACTTTCTGTAGTTTACGTGATTGTTATCAACAATGTTCATGTTTCAAAGAATATGATATATAATGATGATAATAGTTTGGATTGGTGGCAAAATGCGGTTTTTTATCAGATTTATCCAAGATCATTCATGGATAGTAATGGTGATGGAATAGGAGATATTCAAGGGGATAATAATGAAATAGAGTATTTTTTATCTTCTTACCACCTGATTCAAAATGGAGGTGGATAGTTTTCGAAGATTCATTCATTCACTCATTTGATTTAATACAGAAAAACACATTTTTGTAATGAGGAGTTTCAATAAATAACCCGTTGTCGCATAAGCTAAGGCTTATGGTTCATAGTTGACGATCATGATATCACCAATTTAAAACAGTTTATTGCATGATTTTCACTTAAAGGATTTTACAAAAACCGCGGCACGTGCTTCGCTATACAATAGCTTTCTCAAACATAAATTAAAACTAAAAGTTACTTCTAAATTACAATCATTTTATACTCTAACCTTTTACCTACTCGTATGCCTAATAAATACACCTGAAAAGGTCAGGTATGAATTCATTACCTATATCATAAATTTTACCGTACCGTAAATACCGTAAATATGCCTAAGTATTTTTACCTGGAAATAAACAGATTCAATAATGGCGAATTATTCAATTCAGTTTGATCGTTCATGAGATATTGAGAGTTTTTGAATTTGTTCATTTCCATACTCTCCAACAAGTTAAGTTTCAAACCTTCCTTCTGGAAACGGAGGGGCTTGTATTCATGTGTTCCTTCATGCGGGCTTTGAACGTTCTTCCAGTTTGACCTATATAAAACATCGGACATGACCCAGGACTAGGTGGGTTTCCCATTATGACACCTTTGCAGGATGAGTAAAAAGTTTATGACACCTATGCAGGATGAGTAAAAAGTTTCATTGAATTGGAAATAATTCTGTGACAAACACACCGTAAGCAATTCTGGCAGAGAATTTCATGGACAATTTGGAGAGAAAAATACACTGTAACCCACTGGTAAGAAGTTTCATGTATTGATATGAATATGTGGATTATATTCATCCTTCTATCACATTCACAATGTAGATGAAAAAGGACGACTCTATATTTTTTTTGGCTTGACAATAACAAAAGTTAACAACAAACATGATTTTTCAATTTATCGTAAACCGACATATACAGATATTATCATTCATGATTCGTCCACCCACCGTATCAGCACAAAGTAGCAGCTTTCAACAGTATGATCCACAAACTGATGATTGAGTCCTTGTCAGAGGCGAATTTCGATAAAGAACTGAACATAATGAAACAAATAGCCGTCAACAATGATTACGATAGTAGTCTAATACATTCTTTATTATCAAAAAAGTTATACAGTCAAACTTTGAAAGAAGTTTACCCAGTTCGAAGAGAAAAGGATAAAATTTATAGAACCTTAACCTAACCCACTACAAATATTTCAGATTTTCTGCACAGCAAAAGTGTAGATATTGTTTTCAAAACCAACAACTTAGGCATACATATTAAGAATAACATATTAAGAATAACAGTTTCTAAAAATTTGGGAGTGTATAAATTATCATGTGGGTCATATCCGATGTTTTATATAGGTCAAACTGGAAGAACGCTCAAAGCCCGCATAAAGGATCACAAATATAGATTCCACATATGCCACTCATTTGATCACAGAAGGACATGAGTTCAACCATGAATACAAACCCCTCCATTTCCAGAAGAAGGGTTTGAAACTCAACTTGTTGGAGAGTATGGAAATAATCAAATTCAAAAACTCAATTTCTTATGAACGACAAAACTGAATTGAATAATTCGCTATTATAGAATCCGTTCCAGGTAAAAATAGTTAGGTATATTTACGATACATTCGAAAAATGATATATCTAGTTAATGAATTCATACCTGACCTTTTCAGGTAGATTCATTAGGCGTACGAGTAGATTTTATATTTTTCCAATAATTCATTCGATGAAGAGTAATTTGAAAAAATTATTTCAGGAATTCCAAGGTAACATATTTATGAATAATGTTTTTGGTTATGTTGACATATTGCTAATTTGCTGTTGAAAAGAAATTATTTTCAGAGGAGATTAGTTTAGGGTCTACGTTTTTATACACGTAGAAGTTGTCTACAACTACTACCTTTTTTTTATTTTTTTATGTTTGTGGGACAATATACAATTTCAATGAAAAAAAGCTTGGAATAGAGGTATTCAGTAGAAAGTAGCAAGTAGCAATAAGGGTTGATGGTTTTTTAATTGATGGTCAATTATTAATTTAGTACGATAATGTGGTATTTACGTAATTAAATTTAAACGAGTTTGTTTTTGAATAGTCTGTATTGTATTCAATTTCGAGTTTATTAAGGAAAGGTAGAAAGACTTATTCTGAGAATGTAATTTATTTGGGTTGAAGATTGAATTTCAAAATGAAAAGTGTTTGGGAAAAATTATATTTATTAAGATGAATGAATCCAAACAAAAATATAATGGAAGTTATGATCGAAAAATTACGAAGGTTCAACTCCAGACAGATTGGAATCGCTTGTAGAGTTATTACTATCCTCACTGGTACTATCGTTGTCACCTTGAATATTTATAATAATATTATCTATTGCGAAATCAAGAGCAAGTTCGTGTTCGCAAATTTTATTCCACTGCTCTTGAGAAAACGAAATGAAGAATTCGTCACATAACCTTTCAACGGATTTGAAATTGAACTCCACATTTTCATCAGCCATATATTGTTTCAGTGATGCCCATACTAATTCTAATGGGTTGAAATCTGGATGATAAGGAGGCACTCTGAGTACAGTATGTCCATGACTTTCCATTATCCAATCAATTTCAAATAACTTGAATCGTGATTTATGGATTCTAATAATGAAAAAAAAAATAAATTTTCAGCATATCATCCGTGAAATGAATGTTCCGTCATCTTAACCACTCTCTCATCTCATCTTCCCTCGAGGATATGTTTGGGCAATTTCCATACTGAACATTGTAGTATGGGGCATTGTCTATAACCAAAAGATTTTTTCTGGAAGATTGGGAATCAACATTTCTTGCAACCAATTTTTGTAATTTTCCCAATTCATTTCGCTATGATAGTCGCCCGATTTTGTGTTGGAATTGAATTTTAGATGAGAATTTTTCACAAATCTATCCATTCTCCCTCCAGCAATCACCATTTTGAAATTGGTTCAAGCAACCCTTCATTCAAAGCATCATTCCAACTCCTCTCATGTGCATGTGAAGCATGGATAAATGTTTCATCCCTATAAATTAATGTTCGACTTCCTTTACGGAATTTCTTCATGTGTCTGAGAAAATAGAAAATTTATTCGCAACTGCTGAATCGCCGATTTTTTTTTCGTTTTCCTCCATCTGAACCCTATTTCTTTCATCACTTTCCTCAGAGATTCACAAGATCTCTTTGAACCATTTTTGTCAACGAATTTTTGATATATGCGGCGTAAGGTGGAATTTTTTTCCAGCAATATAGTAATTGATTATATATGGACAAAGAAGGCCTTTGTCCAAATCATCAGAATTTGATGTCTATGTCTTTTTTATAAGGCGTTGAAAAAGAGGATGACTCACCATTTTCAGTTGCTTTCATTTCACGAGATATGCTACCCAAACATACAACCGCCGCATTTGCACAACGTTCTTGATCTTTTTTCAGGTCCATGCTTATGCCATTATCTGCTTCTCGTTGCATGAAAAAAAATTTCATTAGCAATCACTTCTCTCGCTTGACTACAAAAAACTTTCGAATTTGATTAGAATGCTATTTTCTCAAAATACAGACCTTTGTCGCGAAGTGGACACTACAACAGAAGCGCTTTTTGGATCAATGCATGTTTGCTGGCGTAATACAAGTCAATTATTTCCATCAGCATTAAAATTGTGTACTCGGGATTCGATGAAGTTGACGAAGGCCGTTTTTGCCTGGTCCTAATTGGTAAATGTCCTACTGGTAGAAGAGTGAAAACTGAATTACATTTAATATCGGTATTCAAGAACAGAAAAAAAAATCCGTAGGGTGGTACAAAATATACTATTGTAGAAGGGTTACTATAATCCTGAGGAACTTTTGCATAACATATATGATGGAATTGGTCGATACTTGATAAAAATCCATAACAAACGTATTCAAGAAACACTTTATTGTGAGATTTTTACTAAACGATTTTACAAAAACGCAACACATGTTTCGCCATACAATGGTTTCTTCGGGCGTGTCTTTACTAAATAATTCTACATATTCAATGCTAAATATACCTTATTCTACAATTTGAAGTACCTATATTTCAAGTAGCTGGTTTTTATCTCAGTTCGTAATGAATTAAATTACCTGAGTTTATGTCCCAGTTTCCACATTTGAAAAAATATTTAGTAACGGGGAGTTATTCAATTCTATCTGAGGAATTCAAGAGGAAGATAAAACTTTTGAATCTTCTTCGTCGAGGTGTTAAAATAACGGTTTGGTATTGGGAAAAAACTTTGGTAATATTCATTAGTACACCAAGGTTCCAAACAGTGCATCACAAGTTCATGTGACTCATGTCTATTGTTTTTGTAATGCTCTGTATTTTTTTATGTTGTTTGTGCTACACTGAGCATATGTGCTCAGTGTTGCAAAATGGTGAATGAATAAAATTGAAATTGTTAGGACCGGTACATTATACCATTATTTTTGTTGAATGATTTGAAAAATATGGGAGTAACAAAGTGTGGCATTGTCTTAGACGTAAAGTATAAATTCACTCTGTTAAATAGCACTAGACTAAGCTGAGAAATTGGTTCAGATAATTTTCTCTTAGTGCTAATTCGGTGAAACGACTTTCTAGATACAAAAATGAATAATGACTCAAAAAAAATGTGCTTGTCAAAATTTGTTGCAACAGTTAAAACTCCAGGACGATCACCAGATCACATGACATTAAACTTATTCTTATGAAGATTTGTGAACATTACCGTTGAAGTAAACTGACATTGAGAATAATACCACTTGCGATCAGGTCGTATATATTTGAAAACAATTTTATTGTAGATTAGGATTTTGATAAGTCATCAGCTACTCTGAAATATATGATTTTATTGTTTCTTATATTATTTGGAAGTAAATGTTACTACCTATTAGACTTCTGGAGTGCTATAATAGCGAATTGCCTCAATCAGATGACACTATTTTTTCAAATTATGATTTTTGCAATTAATTCCAATGTAATATATTTTTTGATTATACAAGAAGAAATCTATTGATTTATTTCATCACAAGCGTCTAACTTTAATTCGAAAATTAGTTTATTATTTGCAACCGTCACTCAAAGGGTGTTGAAATGTTTCTGATTTTTTTTTTTAAATATATACAATATGAAACTAAAAGTTTCACTTCTTAGGTTAGTACAAGTCAGTTAGTTCAAGTTGTTGTTGGGCGATAAATATAAAAATGATAGGAAAAAACTCATGCAGATAAAGTGTAAGACTATCATAGTATTTAACTATTGAAGGACAAACGGTCAAGATAGTGTGGTAATGATTTGAATATCTGATGGAATGAAATATTATTATCACTAATGAGTTTTTTAAATGAACTATGATAATTATGTGAAAAATAATTTTTCATTTTTGAACGGCTATTGAGTTCTTGACAATATTTTTCCCAATATCGTAACTTAATTTGCTCAAGGGTATTTCGTGAATGTGAAAAATAATCCAAAACAAAATCTCTTTCTTCATTCACGATGAACTGAACGAGTTTGTTGCATAAAATATAATGTGAAAATATTCCGATTATGATGACACTTGTCTTTTTTGAGTGATGTTAAATGTCTTTCCGGCGTTTAACGTGAAAGTAGCCTTCATAACTTCTTGTTAATTCAAAAAATGTTAGGTTAGCCACATTGGCTTGTCGGATCATTTCAGTGTGAGGCTCTTCAGCTTCCTGAAAGAACGTTCCCTGCAAGTGGCCGTTGATGGATATCTCTCAAATACTTTTACCATCAACGCTGGGATCTATATTGTCTCAAACCCTCTTCTTATTGTATATCAACGACTCATTGATGAATACCTAGAATCCAATATATTGCTTTGCTGATGACAGCACACTTGTCTGGTCATTCCATTTGGATTCCAGAACATCTGCTACGGCGGCACATCTTCACCGGCAGCAGGAGGTTGCAAATCTTAATGAGGATCTAGAAGTGATTTCGAATTGGGACGAAAGTAACCAGGTTCAATTCAATGCCACAAAAACCCAGGCATCGGTTTTCTCCAAGCAGATAAATGTCTCCGAACCGGATATAATAATGTCAGGTCAGACAATTTAGCTTTCTGCTTCAATAAGTTTGTTGGGGGTTAAAATGGACACAAATATGTCTTTGTACAATCATGTCGCTGCAATTGTAAAGGCTGCTTCTCAAAAGCTTGAAACACTGTTCCGAATCAGAAAATCAGAAAAGAGCTATCCGCCTGATTGGAGACACGAATATCACGTCCGACATTGATAGCCTAGAACATGAAAGGAGGGTTGGAGTAGGCAGTACACTTCGAACGTCAATGATTGAGAACTCTCTCATCTAGAGAACTGCGTTTATGTGGAATAAACTTCCTGAGAATATTTTTTCAAATGGATTTAATTCTCAGCGATTCAAATCTAACGTGAATCACTACGTTCGTATAAGCACCGCTCTGAGAGAGCCTTAAGAATTTTCGTTTGGTGTTTGTGTTTCCTCCTTGAACAAACAACATATTGAAAAATGAACAGTCATAGATATATGAAATGAGCTGTGAGGCCGGTGACAGAGAAACTGACATATCAAACGAGTCATTAAAATATATGGCTTATACAATGGCTTCTTCGGGCATGTCTTTTCTCCACGCCCGAAGAAGCCATTGTATGGCGAAACACGTGTTGCATTTTTATAAAATTGTTTAGTGAAAATCTCACAATAAAGTGTGTTTTTGAATACGTGAGTTATTAAAACTCGATTCAAGGAACACGTTGAACATATCCGGAAAAGTCCATTGTCGCTCAACACATGTTGGATAACGGCCATAGAATAAAGGAAAACTCTCTGAAATTGTTGAAATCGGTACATGACAATATATTTCTGAAAATTGTAATGTTATTTCTACCCGAAATTAATGATGTGTGTCTGAACGTCAACGTTTTTTGGATTTATTCAACGCCAAAGGTTCCATTTCTTCCTTTCATTATGTTAAATGTAATTTTTTCACACAAAATGTTTATAATGACTATGATTACTAATTACATACCTTCTGTAACAGATAATGAATTTCGTAATAAGGTAACATATTTATGAATACTTTTTTTGGTTATGTTGACATATTGCTAATTCGCTGTTGAAAAGAAATGATTTTCAGAGGAGATTAGTTTAGGTTCTGCGGTTTTATACACGTAGAAGTTGTCTACAACTACTACCTTTTTTTTAATTTTTTTTAATGTTTGTGGGACAATATACAATTTCAATGAAAAAAAGCTTGGAATAGAGGTATTCAGTAGAAAGTAGCAAGTAGCAATAAGGGTTGATGGTTTCTTAATTGATGGTCAATTATTAGTTTTCTACGATAGTGTGGTATTTACGTAATTAAATTCATTATTCCACCAAGGATTCCAATAATCAGAATTCTCTTTCTCTGATGGTCGAGTGCTAAATTAGACTTAATAACATTTTACATTTGTAAAAATCATTCAGTTCAGTCTACTCTCGACTTCAACATTAGTTCTTCATCTACTGAAGACGTCAACTTGGTTATTAGTGTGAAGTTACCCAAAACGAGGGACGATCAAACAGGGTTTAGAATGAGATTTGCTAACAGTGTTGCCAGATTGCAAATATTGAGAATTTTACCTGTATTTCAATTTTATCATTTTAAAAACACGATATATTATTGAAACATGTCGAATAAATGACTCAGCATTGTACATAAACTCATTATATCAGCCAACTGTCCCTATACAAGCATTAGTACCAAAAAATGTAAAATAAGAGTATAATATTATTCAGGAAAAATTCATTTGTACCGAAACAGGTAGCGTATGAGATGTCCCTCGTCATAAACTGTGAATGAAAAGTTATGGGTAACTTCACACTAATAACTTGGTTGGCATGTCGAGAAGGGTAGTGCACTTCTAGTGAATGGAAACAGTACTTGTTTGGAGTTATTTTAGGCCGGAGATTCCAGATAAACCTTTCATTCAACTTAATATTAATTTTTTTTTCGAGAAAACAATGTTGTATCGGAAATAAACTTTTGAGCTACTATAGATCTTCGTGATGAATTGATATTGATGTATTCAATTACTTTCTCCTTTTTTCACAAGTTTCCCTCTTTGTGGTAAATTTCCAGAAACTAATCTTTCCAAAAATATCTCCTTTTCCATTCAACTGCAAAACAGTTTTTCCAAATGAATATTTTTATGTCAAAGGTATAATCAGCAAGCTGGATCACCTGAAAGATGCTGGAATAACAGCTACATGGCTCTCTCCCATCTTTAAATCCCCTCAAATTGATCAAGGATACGACATAAGTGACTATCGTAACATCGACCCTCTTTTTGGTACCACAGAAGACTTCAAAGAACTCCTAGTGCTGGCCAAAGGTATAGGCCTAAAAATAATTTTGGACTTTGTTCCTAACCATACCAGTGATATGCATGAATGGTTTATGAAATCTGAAGACAAGATCGAAGGGTTTGAAGACTTTTATGTGTGGCATGATGGTATCCCCAACGGTTTCCCTATACCAAGTGTGCCCAACAACTGGGTAAGTTTTTTTCAGAAACGAAAATTAAATAGGGAAATACAACTTTTAGACATTGAATACACAAAAACATTCCAAAATCCGTAGAGTAAGATTTTCCTGGCGATAAGCCATAATGATGAAATATCTCTTAACAGCTAGCATGTCGATGAATTTAGCAAATATCAAGCCTGAAAAAATAGAACTAATCAGAGTGAAATGAATTAAGTGAACCATTAGAATTCCAAAATATTCGTATGTGATGATAAAAGACGAAGATTGATGTAAAAGATATGAAAAATGGATACCTATAGATTTCATTATTATTTTAACGGATACTAAACAGAAATATTGAATACTTTGTGAAGTAATCACTTCTTTGGTTCATTCTCATTCATCTTTAGAAATTTAGATGAAACTTGCCAAGAATTGAACATTTTTAGGAAAATACTTCTTACTTTGTCTTAGTTTCGGAGTTAATTTTGAAAATGAGTATTTAATACTTCCGCTATGAGATCAAGTGAAAATATTTGAACAAATAGATCGAACTCAATTCTAGAATTGAAATAATTTTCTTTTTCCCAATTCTGTGTTAGAATTATAAATATTTCTATTATAAATGCTTCCTTCCTGCCTTTGGAGTATTCTCAATTTTTTTTTGTATCAAGATGTAGTAGTAAAAAGTCAAAAACCTTGTTTCTCAAAAAAATTAATCACTCCTAAAAATATAACCCTTTCGATTTGAATATAAGTAAATCACAAATTGGCAAGAGAACAAATTTGTAACATATTTAATTATTCATTGAATATTTCAAACATAGAACTCGAACCAAATTAATTCATTTATTAACCATAGGTCACAAAAGTGATATAATAGTCGTTAGATGAAAAGTTATAAAAATATATAAAAGTACAAATACAATATCAAAATAGCCTTCAAACATAAAATAAATTCACATGTATACTTATATTCATATCATACGTACATATACTCGTCCACATAACTAAATCAATTCACAATATTCTGAAACTGAATTAACTACCTGAACATGTTCAATGAAAATGGTTTTTTTCCTTATATAAACGGATCCACGAGAGTTACTGAGGAAACTCAAAGTAATTTAGATCATACATTTATTCGTGAAAAAAAAACACTATTACCAAATCCATAAACTTTATAACCATAGCGATAGAGACACATTTAACCTACCATCATGCTACTTTAATACTAGCCACACATATCACAAATGAAAAGCCAAACATAAAGATAACTGAATTAAAAAAAAAATTGATTACAAGAAATTTGAATCATTGCTCAAACAGGAAACCTGAAAAGGGATATTAGATGTAAATAGTGTACAAGAAAGCTATAGTAACTTCATGATGAAATTAAAAGAACACTTAACTACATGTACTAAACAGTTGAATGTCGAAAATAGTCAAAAGAAAATAAAACCCTGGATTTCAGTAGGTCTAATGCAATCATTAAAAACAGGGATTATTTGAAAAATAAACTGAAGAAAGATTTCTCAGAACAACTTAAAATAGATTTCAAAAACTTTCGAAGTATGTTAAATAATCTAATAAGACAAACAACAAATAATTTCTATGAAAACCAACTATAGAAGAGTTTGGGAAGTGATCAATTGTGCAACCAATTTAATTTCGTGAACATACTATAGGAACAAATGGAAAGAAGATTACAGATAACACAGAAAATTTAAATATCCTCAACACATACTTCACAAATATAGGACATAACTCAGCAGAAAAGATTAGACAAAAAAATAGAAAAGATCCACATAGAAATTTTATGACTTCGGATAAAACAGTGAATGAATCGATATTTCAAGACCCAGTGTCAGAAAACGAACTATCTCAACATTGAAAAATAAGTGTGTCGCTAGAGAAGAGAAAATATCCACGACATTAATAAAATCAGTACACTAGTATTATTGTCTCTTTGAAACATTTAATAAATTTTTCTTTCGAAAGAGGTATAATACCTTCCCAGTGGAAAAATGCAATTATAACACCCATTCATAAATCTGGTGATTACAAAACTTTTATCAATTATAGACCCATTTCATAAGTGTATCACAGAGAAACAGTATGAATTTTTAGAAAAATATGAGTGGGTACAGAAGATGCAATTATTTATCTAACAAAAAATATTGTCGGAGGCTTGAATAGGCCAAGAAAATGTCTTGCGGTATTTTTTGACTTGGCCAAAGCTTTCGACACTGTGTCGCACAATATTTCACTTGAACATCTTAATAAAGTTGGCATACGTGGCACAGCACTGAATCTATTGAAAAATTATTCACATAACACAACACAGCGAGTAAAAATTGAAAATCACAATCGGTGTTATAAAGGGTTCAGTGCTGTGTCCAATATTGTTTCTCGTATATATTAACGACATTGCTGATCTAAATAACTTTCATGGCCACATAGTATCATATGCAGATGATACTGCTATTGTTTTCATAAATGATACATAGAAAAAGGTATATGAATGTACTAAATTAAGCTTCTCTCACACTCACAGTTGGTTGAATCACATCCTATTACTAGTAAATTTTCAGAACAGTAATTGTATCATCTTCTCTCTAACTAGTGAAGACCAACCCACAGAAAGATATATTTCAGTACATAGTTATTCTTGTGACAAAAATTGCATCAGAGGTTGTCCAAAGATTGAAAACAATGTATAAACTGAAGTATCTTGGTGCGATAGTGGATCAACACCTGAGGTGGGATGAACATGCATTATATGTAACAAAGAAATTACGACAACTAATTCATACGTTTCATTTCCTATGTGATATTCTCAGTAGGAAAAACCTTTTCATAATTTATAACTCATTAGCTGAGTCAATTTTAAGATATTGCATAGTAAAATGGGAGGTCTCTACTACAACGCTCAAAATAATTGCAAACTACTCAGAATTGTTTGCTAAGAATACTCTTCAAAAAGGACAGATTATATAATACAAAAAGGCTGTATAAGGAGTCCAAGCAACTACATTTCAAAAAGTTATTTGCATATTATTGTCTAATAGATACCTACCATAAAACAAAGCCCATTGTTAATCCGCTTATGTTACCCGATTCATAGAAAACAAATCTATTGACTTGCCGATTTTCAACAATAGTCACTTAAAAAGATTTGTTTTCTTCATTGGCCCTAAACTATATAATTCACTATCTTTATGTGTGAAAGAATTGAGAACGGAAAAAGGTTTCAAAACTAAAATAAAGGCATAGAGTCAGATGAAATTAATGTTAATCTTTATCTATAATTTTAGAAAACCATTGAATACCGAGTTCACTTTAAAAAATATTATCAATCACTCTTATGAAGTTATTGTGAAAATAATGTTGAGCTGTTGATGTTAGTTTCCTGTTTAATCTTCCTCTTCGAAGATGATCACTTGGTGATAGAAACACGTGTCGAGGTGTTAAAAATAACGATTTGGTGTTTCATCTGTGAAATACAGAGCTATCTGGTTTTTTCATGTAGACTTAGTAACTATCAAATGTTGAAAAAGTTTTTCACAGCATTAATTAAAACGCATAGATTAAATAAAACTGATAGGTTAGGTTACGGTAGGTCAAAAGTGAGTAGGTTAATTCGATTCTTCTCCGCAACCCGCAAGGGTTTACTGTGGAACACCTATTTAAACTAGGCCAAATAAACTTAGCTTCTTGACGAAGCCGATTAGTTTATACGGAGAGTGATCTTTCAGATCAGATGGTAGAAGTGTGGTTCTACCAAACTCTGAAAAGCTGATTCGGTCCGCAGAGGGGCACTCACAAAGTATATGCTCTACTGTTTCATTATTTTCCAAACAAAGAGTCTGACTTCCAGGAAAGTGGAATCTTGTGATTCCTTGTGCTGCGAGGTAAATCAGAGATACTCTCACAGAACTTCCTCCAAGACTCCCGTTTTGTCTTTCTAATTTCTGTGACTACCTCCGTCAGGCAAGTAAGCAACACAGATGTGAGGACTTCGGAAGTTGGTCCAAACCTATTTATAGGTTTCGGTCCTGGATCAGCAGGAGAGTTGAAAAGCTCTCGCTCTTGATCTGAAGTTACACGGAGGTCAGTTGGAGTCGTAAAATCGACATGCACCTCCTCCATATCCCAAGCCAATGCACTCGCAGAAACAGCAGGCACAGTAGCCCGAATTAATTGGTTCAATAGTAGTGAGAGAAGCAAAACTTTGCACCACTGCCGCATCCAATTCGTATCTAGAATTGGTCGACAATCAAAAAAAAATCTTTCCAGCCTTTGTAGCCAAATAATTGGTGACAATTGTAGTGTTGTGAGGTGAATCCCCGTTTTGTTGAAAATATATTTTTCTGAGCTTCATTAGTGACAATTCATCAAGGGGTTCAATATTTTGCCTTAAAATTTCTAAATACCTCTGAGATGTGATAATGCCATTATAAATCAACAAGACCATAATTTTACCCCTGAAAACATCTGCCCACACACTAGATCCACATTTTTCTTGATTTCTCTGCTCCACAATAGAATGAAGATTTTGTTTTGTCCAAGTACAAGAATTGTTGCGGGCACTGAGCAGGCACTGCTTACATAGACTCTCCTGGTCTGAGTTGATGAACTCTTCTGGTCCTGTGTGGTTTGATTTTGCGTTTTTTTTCAAAATCCTCCCAATGTTAGTTCTTGGTTGATATTTTCAAATTTCGCGTGAACGTTTTGGGATTATTTTCAACAGCTCCTGAAACGACTATTTCTTCCAATTCCTTATTCCTATTTGATTCATACAATTTTAATCTTTTCTTTTCAAATTGATTCGATCGAATCGATTAGGTTGTGTCGCAATCCTGCAAACATGTCTCTGAAAGGCTGTTTTCTCTCTGGATACCTCTCTTGATACAAATTGCTTGCTTCTTCTGCATTTTCCCCAGTTCATTGCGAATGTGTTCGAAAATTGAACAGAAAACAAAAATGCGTCTTCACTGCTCAAATCAAAATTTGATAGCTACTGGTAAAGATTTGTATTGTGTTTCATCGCCGCATTGTTCAAAGCCTACCGGTCAAGGTGCGCGTTTCAAAGTCTACATGAAAATACCTAAAGATGACTCTACCAAAACATCAAGTGTGCTACATTTTTTGAAAGGTAATTTTAAGCTCTACTGAAATATGCAGTAATACACAGGATGTCTCATAAAATAGTTTTCCATCAATAGCTATTGATATCTCATTTGAAACAATACGTTTTTTACACCATTGAATTCTACATGAAACGTTTCCATAGAAACAAGACATTTTTGACGGAAAAAAAGTTATAATAACTTTTCGAAAATGCACATTTTCGAAAAACATGTTGAAACTCAAAAACGATGATAGATATCGATATGCGGTTTTCACCATAAAATTTATCATAAAATTTGACCATCAGACACAGCCATCAGTTTTCATCTATCTAGTTTAAAAAGAGGAGTTCCCTTTAAAAGTGTCCAATTTGGCTCACTCTGTACAATAAGTTTAGAAATTAAATCTCCACCACACAGTTATAACTCTTATCGAAAGTAGTTTCTTTGACTAATGCATATTTTAGTTGACCTATTCAATTATTACTTTAGAAATAGTAATTTAGATACTATATAGTGGTATTATAAAACATTTACTTTCAGGTTTCAGAATTTGGAGGTTCTGCGTGGCAATGGAGCGAAAAGCGACAGCAATATTATTACCATCAATTTGCCATACAACAGCCAGATTTAAATTATTCTAATCCGAAAGTAGTAGAAGAAATGAAGGTAAGTATATGTGAATAGATTTTGACTCATGCAAAGAAGTAACATTCAGGCAGAAACTGGAAGAGAAGTTCTTTCGAAACAGCTACTTTCATATAAACATTGAATTACACGAAAGAAAGATTCTCATGGAACAAATACAACACTTTCCTCTATTCAGTTTGTATTCAAACATTCGTTATGGAATTGAATCAGATATTATTCATAGGATTGCTACAATAAAGTAAATGAAAGAATTGATCTTTCACTTACATGGAACACTATCATCCTCACTGGTGGACATCCGATGCTTCGGTCTGAGATATCTGTCTTATTGCCTCTTCAGCACCAAATTTGGATAACATTATGAGAAACACTCAATTCATTCATAAAACTACGACATTATGTCACGAATGAGTTTAATCTACCCATGTCATTGGTGACAGTACGTATAAAGATGAAGACGTAGAGGGTGTTTCTTTAGGCGCTTCCTATCCTGTTCAATGAACACACGTCGTTGTCTATGGTCGTTTACCTTCAGTTCCTGGGTCAGCTGAATTTTGAACTGGTGCAGGCCCAAGTTAAGACGTAAAATTCGGAAAGTTGTGTGTGAGTTCTTGTGAGCGACACTAAATCTACTGCCTCGGATTCTCCTGCACACTCTCACAGACAGCGGCGATTTTTTCGGCAGATCTTGCTTTTAGTCGACGTACGGGTGTTGGTCTATCGTTTACTGAACCAGTGGACCCAAATGTATCCACCACATTTCTAATAGTTCTCTCGGTAGGACGATTACAGCGACCTTAAAATGGGCGAAGTGCGCAGTACTTTGCCTGAATAGAACACCCATTTGATAAAACAATTTATTATTTGCAAGTGTTGTGAATGCTGGCAAAAATGGTGATTTGGTAGAACAGACTAAATAAATGACCACTAATTTGACAGATGTAGCTTCAACAAGATGGCCGTCATCAACTGTCAGAGTTCGGGAGTCCCTATTAGAAGACCCTATGGAAAGCCAAAATAGTTCTTTCCCATTAAATAATTCTATTTTAAATTTTATGGGGTGGTTTCTTCATTAAATGTAATCAGTATTTCACTTAATTCTTCAAATGCTTTTGATTGAAAGTACACTTCATTAGTTTTATGAAAGTTTATTGGGTTCAAAAAGGCGAAGATACATAGACTTTTTTCATCAAATCAATTCTGAATACTGGATAGTGTCGAAAATATCGTTATCAACTGTAAATATCATGAATTTTATATTGATCACTTGATAAATCTCAATGTTATCTCATTACATATTATAGATACAGAATCTATTGAGGTTATTATTACTTGTATTGTGGGAATACATGATAAAAATCGCCATGTTGAAGTGGAGTCATGACCCAAATTATGCAACCACTGAACGATTTGATTTCGGAACCCATATCATATCCAATTGATATTTTTGTTTTGGAAAACATTCCAGTTTATTAAAAAGTATTATAATTGACCCAATTTATGAATGAATATGATAATGAACTCGAATTTGAAAACTTCAGTCCTCGACACTGATGATTTTGATATCAAGTGAATCATAGTAAAAAAACCGTAATCGATTAAATTTCATTTCCTGCAAATGATTTTGATCAAGCCATCATCAGTCTTCTGGTATTTTTAGAGTTTTTCAAAGCCTTCAATCGGTTGTGAATGGATGTAGGTAATTAGATAATTAGAACTAGAATTTGGAACCACTCATAAGTTAATAGAAAGTTACATTCCTAAAGAAGGAAATATATTAAAATTGATAATACAATAAATAATTTACGCTTCAATGTTCACCTGAATGAATTATTCAAATTCTCAACAAGAGCAAAAATATCTACTTACTTTTGCTGATGATAATGTTATTTCTCACAGTGCAACTACCTGGAAGAAATTGAAAAATATTATACTGAAGAAATTAAAATTAATCTAACGACTGTTTCGAGAAAAATAACGTAAGTACTTGGATTTGACCAGTGCCTACTGAGAAACTACCACTTTCCCCGCTAATACCACGATGGACATTGAATTAAATTCGACAGATATTTGTGCAAGTTGCCGCATTCCTGTTAGAGTATTAATACATGGGATGCTTCTTTCCCGTTCGAAACTTTGTTTATGAGATGGAGCTATTACTAGTTAAGAGTACTTGTCTCAGACGGAAGTTTCATATATGCGTTCGAATCAGGATGGAATTATCCGAGAGTACTGGAAACACTACTTTCTTTGTTGGATCTATCCTGTACTGACGAGGGGTCTGTTTGTGACCAGTCGATTGATTTCAGTGAGGTTATTCTACTGGACAAACGAAAAGCATCTACAAGAGTTCCCCCTGTGGGAAAACTTTGTCAAATGTCTGTCCGATATATTTCAATGCCAAACGAGAGGTCTGAATTTGAATTTCATATTTTCCCAGTACTTGCTGGGGAAGTGACAAGTGACTGTTTTGCGACAGGTATTCGCTAGCCCCTTCTATACAGGAACATTGGGAGACGTGAATTGATTAGGGTTACACAATCTAGTTATTTAGCTTCTCAATGATTCCAGTTATGAATTCAGGAAATTTCTGCAAGTGCTACAAAAAGTCAATATTTATTGCAAACTCGTCCATTTGCTAATGAAAACATAACCTTATTGAAACCTAACTTCAACTGAATCTTTGAAAATCATGACTCAACCCCTACTCGAGCTCAAATCCTGGGTTTAGCGCAACCTCCTCTCAATTCAATCGTTCTAGACTCATAAAGAGGGGCAGTTAGAAAAAGTCCCTTTTGAAGGAACAGTACACAGAATGAATCTTAGTCGGTCATAAGCACCGCTAACTGATTACGTACAAAATAGAACTCTTGATTGCATTCAATTACATGTTTGCTTTTTTTACGGAAACATTCCCTTGTTTTTATTCGACAGAACACAAACACTACAGGAAAATCCTTAAGGCGCTCTAAGAGCGGTGCCTGTACGAAAGTAGCGATTCACGTTGGATTTGAATCGCTGAAGATTAAATTCATTTGGAAAAACTTTCTCAGGAAGTTCATTCCACATACACGCAGTTCTCCAAATGGAAAAATTCAAATAGTGAAGTTTGAGCTTTACTGAGTTGAACCTCAAAACGAAGAGCAGCCACAGTCCATCGCGTATTTCTGATATGTACTGCTCTGGGTGGAATTAAATGTGCCAAGTCACTTGAACATCTTCCGTGAAAGTATCTATAGAAGAGAGACAAATCTCCAACCTTTCTTCGATGTTCCAGACTATCCAGGTTGCAAGTGATGTTCGAGTGTCCAATAAGGCGGATGGCTTTTTTCTGGATGCAATCCAGCAGTTTCAGGGTATGCTTGGGGGCGGAGCTCCATACATGAGAACAATATTACAAAGAAGATCTGATCTGAACTTCATAAAGCATCAAAAGTTGGTGAAGTATTTACACTTCTCTGGTTCGAAACAGTTTTCCAAGCTCTAGATCCTCATTAGGATATGCCACCTTCTGCTGCCGGTGAAGATGTGCATATGCAGCCGATGTCATGAAGGTAGTCTCACCCTAGGAGGTTGTTAATGACTGTATCACACCATTGTCAGGTGATTCCTCAGGTTTCCTGTTCGTATCCCTGGACAGGTTGCTACTCTCCGGGTCAGAGGGAACCCGAAGCGGCGGGAGTAAGCTTTGGGAGCTTATCTTCGTATCAGAGCTGTCCATAAAGGAGTCTCTGCCCGCTACCTTATGACGTCTGGTGGAAAGTTCTTCTTCTAGTAGCTGGGTATCCTTGTCTTCCTGGAGTGGGCAAAATTCGCATCCGGATGTCAGGCATGGTCTTCTTGAGAGGCTATCTGCGTTTCCATGACTCTTTCATTTTGTTACGTGTTCCAAAGTTTCATAATTCAAATACAATTGTTTTGGTTCCATCATTGCTTTATGTAAAGAGATACTTCAGAAAAATCAATACCACTTATTAAACACATTAAACCATATGGGTTATCTATTCTAAGGGACTATTTCTTTATAAATATACTGAACTAAAAGGAAAGAAAACAAAAAAATGAAAAAAAACACATTAGGTGTAAATATCACTTGTGCCGATGTCGTCTCGAGTTTAACTTTGTTTTGCTCTTCTCTAATTTGAGGATAAATTCTCAAGACGTAAAATTTGTGCTGAGGAAGTAATTGGTGAATGGATTTACAGTTCCTGTTGGAATCATTCCGTTGAGTTGGTTTTTTTTTACTCCTCTAGCTATCGACTTAGTCGGATATTTTTTTGTGTTTACCGGCACTTTGTCTTCTGTCCTTGCGTAGGACAGCTACGTTTCAAGCCACCCTTCTTCCACGGCTTGTTCTTCCACCCCTAGAGTGTTTGGGGCCTACTACCCTTGACTCAAGTCATCTTTGTTACCCGGAACGAGTCCTGATGGGTAGGTGTTATCCTGCGCTCCAGACGATCATCCCTGAATAGATCGGTTCCAGTCCAGGAGATCTGACTTTTTATCCCGACTCACCACCCTGAATAGAAACATTAGGTCCACTACCTTCATATTGGACAGAAACAGATAAGTCTAGCCAATAAGACAATTATTTTGAATTCCTTATTTATTTATTTTTTTTAATTGTATTATAATAGAATATCATTATAATTTGTATGGGGTTGTGCTACGAAAGAGTTAGAAGAAATTGTATATGCTTATGTCGTTGATTATTCTAATGTGAGACGCAAGTGAGATCTCCCTTGAGTACTATCTCAAATGTTCATTGATCTAAAATCAATAATAAATAAGGCGAATTCATGAGTCAGGTTCGTTTGATTCACTGGGAATTATTTATGATATCAGAACCCGCTATACAGAGAACCTACCCCCAAGCTAGGCAAAGTTTGTGTTTTAGTTTTCAGGATTATAGTTGATAAGGGGAGTCACTAGAGCACGTTAAATATTTTTCTTATTATAACTTTCAGGTAAGAACAAACCCCTGATTAGAAAACCGATATGATTTTGTTAATGGTGAATATTACCAGATATTCTCCCTCCCCCCTTATGTAATAATTTTCTATGCTGAATTTCAAAATCCACCTGGCTATTTGCCCTCCTGGGGTTTTGAAGTTGAACAGCTACCAAAGTGCTGAGTGGTCTCACCTGATTAAAAATGCACGGTCATATAAAAAGGAGTGGTAGTGATCCACCACTTTGACCACTGCGAGGAGTTCTTTTCTAGTAACGCAGTAACTTCTTTCGGACATTTCCAGGGACTTACTAAAATAGCTGATGATGATATCTTCCTCTTGTACTTGAGAAAGTACTGCTCCTATTCCATGTTAGGATGAATCTGTATCCAGTATAAACAAGCCTTTGGGTATACCAGGATCGGTGCGCTGGTCAAATGTCTCTTCAGGGTACCAAATGCTTGCTGGCAATCTGTGGACAAAACGAAGGGTGTTCTCTTTTCAGTTAAGCTAAGCAGCGGTCTGACAGTTTTCCCAAAGTCGTTCACGAAACGCCGATAATAGCTACAGAGTCCAAGGAATCTTCTTACATTTTTGCACTGGTTTGATTTCCTCTGGATCTATTTAAACTCATTTTGAGGACACAACGTGTCCCAAAAAATCATCTTTTCCTAAAAGAGGCAGCATTCCGTAGCCTCGTGAAAACACTCCTGAAGTTTGACAGTTAAAACGTTTTCCGGTGACTATAAAGTCATCAAGATAGACCAGGCTTGTTTTTTCCAGGTGAGTTCTCTTAACACCGATTCCAACAAGCATTCAAATGTTGCGGGTGCATTGCATAATCCGAACGGCATAAACTTGAATTGGCGGTGGAAAAGGCAGTCTTCTCTTTATCCTCAGGGAAAACGGCCATCTGCCAATATCTGTTTTTCAGTACCGATATGTAGAACCATCTGCATTCAGTCAAGATCTTCAAGGTGTCATCTATTCTGAGGAGAAGGTAACTGTCTTTTCTGGTGAGCTCATTAAGCCTCCTGTAGTCTACGCAGAATCTCGACGATCCATCTTTTTTAGTCACCAACACAACAGGTGACGACCATGAGCTGTTTGATTCCTCTATTACTCCTTCCTTCAACATGCCCTTGCTTTGCGAAGGGAAGTTGTCTCGATGGTTGACGTATGGGCGTGGCATCGCCAGTATTTATTTATTTATTAACCAAACAGGCTATTTCAGTCTAATTACTTGGTTAAATAAGGTGAATTAAAATTATTTACATAAAAATATTGTCTATATTATACTTACTACCTATTATTCAATGCCCAGAATTGTAGGAGATGAACTGAGTCCAAAATTGTGTATCGATGCGATTTTGAACTAAATCCTTTCGATCAATGTTTTTGCCCTTCACAAACATATCTTCATATACGAATCGGCTGTCATTGCATAGTTCTTCTTCAGACAGATGGTTTCACGTCTTCTTGAAAGAGTCTATGAGTTCCTTCGCGGATTTTTGAGTACGCTGTAGAGGGACTTCTTCTTCGATTCTGGCGATTTTCACGATCGGTTCGCAGGTTTCTATCACTTATCTTCCTTGAGAGTCACCCTGTTAGGGTTGATTATTCTTACTGGAATGGTATGATTGTTACCATTCACAAGGTATCTGGTCACGATAAGTCCTCCTTCAGAGTCACTGGATGGCTCTATCAAAGCTGTATTCAAGCCGCCAGGTCCAGCAATTCCAGCTTGAATGATTTTCTCGGTGTTGGGAGAGATTCTGGAATCTTCCAGAATAACTTCGTCGATGATGTTGGACACTCATACCTCAGTTTCTATTCCGCAGTTTTCAAGCCTAAGTCTCACTTTAGCTTCTCTGTAAACTGTGAATATATCTTCAGTGACTGTTTCCAGAACAGGTACTACTGGTAATTTCTTCAAACTGCTTCTGTTGAAAATGTCGGCTTTTATTACTGACCTCGTTGCTCGAGTATCGATGGTGAAAAGGTACTGGTGATTATTCAGAAATCCATCGACAACTAAACTGTTACTGTTGCGTCCTATTATGGAAATCGAATACCTAGGGGTTTGTGATGCAGCAGCTAATGTACCTCTCTTAACCCTGGTTATGTTAGGTTGGGTTGAATTCAGTTTTTTCAAATCTCGATGCTCAAGTTCGGGTGATCTCGTACGCTAGTCTCTTCTTTTGTTGGATGTTGAACGAGATCAACAGTCCCGCCTTTCGTGCGCTTCTCAGCCGCAGTTATAATATTAAGTCCGTCCTCTTGCCTCAGCGACTGCTGCAGCTCCGTATCACGAACCCCGTCGATGAAACTATGGATGCTAATCCAGTGGATGATGTTATCAGGTGCTTCTGGGTAGGTGAGTCTTACCAATCTTTCGACTTCAGCTCCAAACTCTTGCAAGCTTTCTGATGGACCTTGAGTTCTCACCTTCAGTTGACTTGTTGATGGTGTTCACTACCATATCAGACCTCCAAAGCTGATACGACTGCTTCACAATCCTTTTGTATATTCACTGAAATATTTTGCAGAATTTCGGAGGCCTTTCCTCGTAGTGCCAGTATGAGAGCTGTTGCTTTCTCCTCAATTCTCCACCCATTATTTTCCGCAGCGGCCTTAAATTGTCTTCGATGAATTGACCATGAAGATTCGCCATCGAAAATTGAAGTTTTAATAAAACTATTGCTAGAAAGGGAAGATTTCGTTCCCGATTTGCATTTTTCCACAGTAATACTTTTTGGGTCCGAAGTTCCCGGAAAACCTCTTCAAACTTTTTGTCGACAACTCCAAGTTTCCTTTCGAATCTTTCAAAATCCTCTCCAAATTTCCTTTGAAACCCCTCAAGCTTCTCATCGACTACTTTTTCCAATCCCTCCTTTGTTTCCTGAAATACTTTTCCAAATTCTTTCTGAATAATAAATAATAAATAAAATTTAGAAGGTTCGATGAACATTTCAACCTAGCAGACCACTATTATAATATTCATGCAGTCATTGTTCACTGTGGTTCTGGCGTTGAATTTGGTCACTATTACGCCTTGGTCAAAGAAGAAATGGACTGGTTTAAGTTTGACGATAGTCGTGTCACGAAGTGTTCTGGCGATGCATTGAATTTATTGGAGCCTCTGGAGACACCCTACATTTTGTTTTATAAGAGAGAGGGCATTGTTAGATCAAGATCTTCAGATGATGTGGTGCTGCAGGTTTTTCCGGGTTTTCCTGCAGCTGAAAAAGCAAATGCGCCACTGGAATCAATGAAGTCGCCCCGAAGCGACAATTAATTTTTATTGTTGTTTTTATTTTATTTTTATCGTTGTTTCAATAAAATATCAAAAATAAATCCCTGTACCTCCCCTTCACTCACTTGGGAAGATATCAAATTTTCCATTAATGAAGGTACACCTGATTGTCTTTTTCCTGCTTTTTCTATTTTTCCTGAATATTTACCAACAAGCCTCTGTCTTTTTCCTCTTTTGTTTTGAATATCTAGTAGTAATTCACGATCTTCATTCCGGCGGAATTGTTCTTCTACTCTTCTGCGTTCATCTTCCTCTCTTCTGCGATTTTCATTTTCTGCCAGGCCCTCTTGCAAAGTCTCAAACATTTTCTTAAGCTTTTCAATCTTGCCGTAATCGACACTTACTTACTTATTTTCAACATAAAACGTTACGTTTTTCCCCGTGGGTTAACCAATAATTGAGTACACTGAACAATAATAAAACTCAATTCTATTTCACTTTGAGTACAACCAAACACTTCAACTGAAACTTCAACTATTATTCGAATGTCTGTCATCTTACTAGATCGATTTGCATACCGCACTGTAACTTCCACATGACTGTCCCGATGGGCGCTTACATTCGGCAATTGAAGGCCCTGGAATATTCCTCGGAATTCCATTGTAGACGGTAGCATTATTCTCGCTACATCTACAGCGACAGCGAACATCGTACATTCGCGCGCTCTCAGCTATGTCACATCAGTTTATGGCTACTAGTGGCGAACGGCATATTTTCTTTAGGGCATGATTTACAACAATATATAATAGAAAGAGGGTTGGAGACAATATGGATTCCTGGGCAACACCAGCATTGATGGTGAAAGTATTCAAGAGATATCCATTGACGGCCACATGCAGAGTACGTTCCTTCAGGAAGCTGAAGAGCCATATAAAAAAATAATCTGACAAGCCATAGCAACGAAGTTTGACTAGCAAACCCTCATGCCATACACGGTCAAAGGCCTTAGAAATATCAAGCGCAACAGCTCCTAATACTCCATGTTTCTCAATTGCGTTATTTCAAATAAAGGTGACATACGATAGAGGGTCGAGTGTTGATCTTTGTTTCCGAAAGCCATATTGATGTTCAGCGTGGCGATTCACCACTGGTCATGTCTCAGTCTGTGTATTGTACTTTCACTGAAATTTTTCAAGAATTCCTGTTGATCGAAAAACAATTTCAGAATGGGAAAGTTCTGGCTTTCTACCTCTCCGTCGTTATACATAAAATGTGGGAAACTTCCAATGACAGGAATAACTACTTTCATATAAACTTCAAATTAGTCGAAAGAAAAAGTACTTTCCAAGGAACTTCTTTTACATGAACATTGAATTATACGAAAAACACTTTTTTCTATTCAATTTGAACTCCAATTGATTGCTTTCTTTCTTTCTTTTGAAGTTTCCCACATTTTCCATATAGAGATGGATATCTAAAAAATCAAAAAGTTTCTCCTCCAAAAATTAATCTCCCCATGAAGTTTAACCCATTTAAATTATAGGATATTCTGAGATACTGGTTAGACCAAGGTGTTGATGGGTTCAGGGTTGACGCCGTTCCTTATCTCTTTGAAGATCCTCATTTTCGGGATGAACCACTTGCCTACGGTCACAACTCGTACGATGTGAATAATAAGAATTGCCTTGATCACATTTACACTAAAGATCAAGAGAAAACCTTCGATATGATTTATCAATTCCGCGAAGTCGTGGATCAATACTCCAAAGATCACAACACCGAAACTAAGTAAGTATTTTTTCAGAACTGAATTTCAATGAACTACTAAATAACACATTTATTCACCGATGATCATCATACAGACCAAAAAGAGGTACTGATATAATTTTTTTAGAATTATTTTGTTTTCTCTCTGCCAATGCAAAATTAGGTATGAATAATAGTATATACACATATAGCCGCTATACATATATGTATTTTTTGAGCTCATTTTCGATTTTAGGCAAATACATGGTAAAAAATAACCAAAAATAGCTATTTTCAGAAATTCATTTCACTTGTAACAGATCTATTTTTATTTATTTCGCGAATGTACTTTTAAGGTGATTATTATTAAATAAATATAATAAATATAGGATTGGCATCACACACATAATACAGTATTACTAATCCACGATTATTCAGTTGTTGATTAGAATGGGCTTCAGACATTTTCTTAATGATAATATATGATGTTACAGGGTGCTGATGACGGAAGCTTACAGTCCAATGGAAAAATTGATGTTATTCTATGAATCTGAGGATGGTGCGAGAAAAGGAGCTCATTTCACCTTTAATTTCAACTTCATCACCGATTTGAAGAATACGAACATCACCGTCACAAACATTGCTAAGGCAATCCATAAATGGTTAGTTTATATTCCGAAGGGATCAACCAGTAATTGGGTGGTATGTATTTCCATTGGAAGTATTCTCAACAATACCTATTATTTGTGTAGAAGGTTCGAAATAGCCATTGATAACAAATACCTAGTTGTTCCTGTATTTCAGTTCTAAACACTCAGCTGTGAATTGATGAACATATTTAGAGCCAAATCTTTCAGCTTTGTAGTGAAATCAATATTTTCCATACACTCGTACAATTAAAATAGCTGTATTACTCAACAAGTTCAAATTATTATTGAAATATCCAGGAAATCATTTTGGTTTTCTACTCCACCATTGATAAATAAGAAATGGGGAACCTACAGAAAAAAGATATAACTGAAAATTCTTTTAACGTATCTAGATTATAGACAGTTTCTAACAAACTGAAAAAAGGGAGAAAGAGACCAAATCATTTTCCGCACTGAACATGAAACAGCTCAATCAGTTTTTGGGCAAAACACCACTAATGATGAATCTATTGAAAATACTATACCAACACCAGACCGCTAACCAAGTTAGCGTCCTCAGAAGATCGTTATGACTAATTTTTACTCTATGTTAGTGTTTTTATATCCAAGTGGAAGAAAGTGATACAAATCATCAAATTATGAGACAACAAAAATTAATTGGCGCTCCGGGGCGATTTCATTGATTCCGGTGGCGCATTTGCTTTTTCAGCTGCAGGAAAACCCGGAAAAACCTGCAGCACCACATCATCTGAAGATCTTGATCTGCAAATGTCTTCTTTTTCATAAAATAAAATGTAGGGTATCTCCAGAGGTTCCAATAAATTCATAACATCGCCAGAATACTTCGTGACACGACTATCGTCAAACTTAAACAAGTCCGTTTCGTCTTTGACCAATGCGTAATAATGACTAGATTTAACGCCAGAACCACAGTGAACCATGACTGCATAAAGATTATAATAGTTGTCTGTTAGATTGAAGTGTTCATATATTTAGAACTTTCATAACAGTTTGGTGCTTCTGTCAGAGGTTGAGTCATGTTTGAAGATCATCAGGGTCATTATTAGATTGCCTGTTGCCTCAGATAAACTTGTTTTCTTATAACAGTCAGTTAGTTTGCCGCATGTTTGGCATTACTGTTGATCATCACCCGTTAAAAGTTCCATTTTCAGATGATTTGACAATGAGCTTTGCACGGAATGGTTATCAGTCATAGTAGGAAACGCTAGTTGAAGTTCTAGAAAATCACATACGTTTTGCTACTTCTTGAACATTTACTACAAAGTAAACAAGTGAGGATTTTCTCAGCAAAAGATCTACAAACAAAAAACGAGATAGATTGTACGTAACCATTCAACCCAGAGCGGTCAGGAGTATTGATTCTGCTATTTGTTTGTTCACGAAGAGTATTCAACAAGAACCCCAAGAATTCGGAGTGATCCTCTTGTTGTCCTAACGAGTATCTAGTGGACTTCAAAGACTCCAGAAAATTGGTTGGTGGGAAAGATGATACATTCTTTCGAAACTGCAACTGCATGAACAATTGTTTGAGTTTGGTGAATAAGTGGGAAACATTCTCGTTCTTGTTCATCGTGAAAACCTCGTTCTTGAAATTCTCCGTCATGAACAATACTAGTGAAATGCTATTTAGCAAAATGCTATACATGTAGCAAGTTTACCAAATGATGTAACCCAATTTTCTTCTCAAGATTTTCAGGATAACTGTCTACTGATTCGTAAGGAAGAACATGTTTCATATAATCTGTATCAGAACCATTTGTCAAGCTGCAATCGATCCTTCCAAGTGATGAAGGATTTCGTAGAGGGATAGATTCGGCTCTTGCTTCATGAAGCTGTTCCACTGAAAGGTAACTAGAACCACGAGGACTGCAGCTCATATTTGGGAGGCAAGAATGACCTAAGTCAATTAACCGCACTGAAAAAGAAAAAGGATGAATATATACATATATCGGTTTGTTTCGAAGAGATTTTTGTTCCATACTGAAATGAGGGTAATGCATGATCTCATCAAAATAATGTGAAGTAGAGATAGTTCCAAGAACCGAAGCAGCATTACTACGTAGAATAGCAATACTAATTCTTTCTATCAAAAAAGAAGTGGAATGGTGATTTTTCGTTGCTCGGCCTATTCTCCTTCTGAGTTCATGAACGAATAACAGAGACTCCGGACCATAAACACCAAAAGTTTCAACTGCTACTGAATAGAATCGATAGTTGTTACCAAGATTTTGGTATTTTTTTGTTTTAATTTTTCGCCAGACAATACTGCAGTTCCGGCAGACTTCGAACATTTGGCTAGATGGGAAGCCGCAACCGTGTCAACGCAAGTGACCTCCTTTGAAAATAGAAAACTTCAGACCAATTCCACTAATTTATAATATCTCTGAACAATTAGATCTACCCCCACACACCACTAGCTTTCTTCTCAACTCCAATTCATCATGTCTACACAACATTACAAAATACATTTCTAATGGCATTTCGAATCATTCTAACTTTCTCTATTAGCAGTAGATTGTGATATTTTTTAAAATTACACAATAATTGCCTGATATATATCGTAACTTTCAAATTGTTTCTACAGTTGGGAAACCATGACAATTCTAGAGTAGCCACTCGCCTTGGCAGAGAAAACGTTGACGGATTCAATATGCTTGTTGCTCTTCTACCTGGAGTTATGGTCACCTACAATGGGGAGGAAATAGGAATGGAGGATGGAGATGTGACATGCGAAGAAGGGTTCGATCCTCAAGCTATTAAAAATTGTACCACATTCAACGAAATAAGCAGGGATTTCGAGCGGACTCCATATCAGTGGGATGGTACTTTGAATGCAGGATTCAGTACTGCCAATCATACCTGGTTACCCGTATCTGAAAAAGCAAAATATGTGAATTTAGCATCTCAAAATGTTCTCGGGATATCTTCTCATTACAATATTTATAAGGAATTATTAAAATTCAGAGGAAGATTCAGTAGACCAGCTTATTTCGATTCTTTGACAGTTGTTGAGTTATCCAGCAATGTCTTACAAGTTATAAGGAAGAGAAACGAAGAAGAATATATATTACTGTTCAATGTAGGGTATTCGCAAGAGGTTTTCGATTTCTACAAGTCGAAATTAACTTACAGAGTAGTTGTAGCCAGTGTCAACAGTACTTATGTATCAGGGTGAGTATTATAAAACTAATAACAGTTTATACTTCTCACATATGAGACTGGCCTGAACGAATTGTTCTTTAAGATGATTTAACAATTTATACTATATTTACTATTAATAAACGAAACTTTAACAATAATAATAATATTTATGGAGTAGAAACAATGAAATATATTTCTTTAAAGAAGGTGTTCGAAATGTCTACCAGCTTCTCCTACACACAGGCGACACCTTCTGTGAACGTTTTTGCTGAATTAATTAGTTCAATAGGAGTGAGAGAAGCAAAACTGCATCATAGTCGCTTCCAATTCGTTTCTAGAATCGGTCGGCAATGCAAAAATAAAATCTTTCAACCTTCCCTAGCAGTAAAAGTCCATAGGCGTTAGGTCCGGTGACCTGGCCCGCCATCGGTTGGGTTCTTGGTTGGCTCTCCAATTATTACTAAAACTTGCAATCAAAAAATTGGTGAAAATTGCAGTGTTGGGAGGCGAAGCCCCGCTTTGTTGAAATTTTTCTAAGCTTCACCATTATTTCGACAATTTGAATATGGAAAGCAATATTTGTCATTTCATTGAAAAAAATAACAAACTTTGATCCGCAACATTTCTATTCGGTACCCTGTATATTGAAGAATGATTTAAAAAATCACAATTCATTATAAGAAACACTTTTTGGTAACTTCACTCCTCCATCTCAAACTTCTAATGGAAGTTCAATGTGACAAAACCGTTTGTTATGAAATTTCTGAACGTCTTATACGGGGTAATATTTGTAATAATAATGTTCATCATTGAAGAAGATTCAATTGAATCTTTGCAGAAGATTCCGTAAAAATTAGGTGATAGAGGGTCGGTTAACCTTAAGTTGCCTATTTTGAATATCGTTTATTATCGGAGATTGAATCTTCTTCAATGTTCATCATTGAAGAAGATTCAATTGAATCTTTACAGAAGATTCTGTAAAAATTAGGTGATAGAGGGTCGGTTAACCTTAAGTTGCCTATTTTGAATATCGTTAATTATCGGAGATTTACAAGATAATTGAAAATTTTCGAAATTTTGTCTAGCTAGAGGTATTGGAAATCTGATTATACAAATATCATATGATGTCAAGAATTTTGGTTCTACACTATATTATTGGGAGTTTTGCTAATTTGCTAATCATCCGATAAATTATTTTTCATTACGGTCCCGATAATGGCTTGGAAGGAAACTCTTTATACTATAATTTTTTGTAGTGGAATCAGAGTTTTCATTGACCTATTAACCTTCAGATTGTAGAGTGTGGATAGTCCAAGAAGAGGTCAATAAAACATTTTATTACTCAACTGTTTATGTATTACAGTTGATGTAAAAAAATATTCGATAGTTCATTTTTGTTTGAATAAGTGAAATATCGAGTACCTGAAAGTATCGCAGTGAGGTTTTTAGAACGTAGTACAACCGCCAAGAGAAAAAACTAAAACTGTCAACCCCCATTTTTCTGGTAATATAAAATAAGAAAACGTTTCTTCTTATTTGAGGTTTTGAGGAGAAAAGTTTCCGGAAACAAGAATTGAAAAAACTTCGGTTTCCAAGGTGCCTACGGAAGAAAAAGGTATCTACTCGTACTCGTAGGTTTATATTTATATTCTAACATTTTTAGAAAGTTCAATGGTTTTTTTACTTGTCGACACAGAAAGAATCATAACTATAACTTTCACTGAATTCCGGTAGAGCCAAAATAGGGAAGTTACGCAAAAGTTAAAATATTTCCTATACTTCTGGAGGTTTTACAACATACGGAAACCTCTCAAAAATGGAAGGTTGACATCAGTACATTTCAGGTACTTCGTGTTGTAATTACTCAAATAATACAGAGAAATAAGACAAATGACACTCTGTATAAAAAATATATGGAAATATTCTGATAGCCAATTAGATTTTCAATATTCCTGCCAATGAAAAAAATGTAATGAAATATTGACATTTTCCGGTTTCTCTCGAATATCTTCTTTATTAAAATATATTACAAAAAAGAAACTTCATTTTAATTTTACCGACGTTCTATTTCCCAGTATGTTCGAATTTCCTATAAAAGACAGATAACTTCAATAACTATTTATAATATGAGTGTTAAACGTAAGGTTTTAATGAATAATCTTTTGAAAACATTTATTTCAGTTTTTTCGAAGAAAAATTTATTTGAAAAGTTTTTGATTTATATAGACGTCTTGAGAAAAAAATCTTGAGCAAAAAATTAATGATGAGTTTAGTTTCCTTTTTATGACCTTTAAGATATGGTTATCTCAAAAGGAGGAATCCCTTTGAAACAATCAATTAACTAGAACTTTGTTATTGTTACATGCATTCTTTGAATGAAATTTATTTTAGCTTTCAACCTATACATGTTTCCAAAATATCAAAAAAGTCATATCTAGTTATATGATGATAGAAAACGCCTCTAATGTAGAAATCGCCAATAAGCCAGTATATACGATAGTATTGTAACAAATGAAGATATAGTAACAAATGATGCAATAAATGATAATATAGTATCATTTTTTTTGTTGAAAAATTTGGTTTCATGAGTGAATACTGAAATTCAGATATTGAAATTTATTATCACGTTTTTTTAATTCGAATAATGACATCTTCAAATTTTTGACATAATTTTTTGACAATTGTTTTATCATATTTCAGAGATGAAGTTGATAATCACCTCCTGTTGAATCCTCATGAAAGTATTATCATTGAAAGTACAGGTAGAGTATGAGTATGTTCTAGCTAATAATAATGCTTGTCTTTCACACTAGTTTCTTGTGATCAGTCAAATTGAGACATAATCATATCAGAAAATAAAATATTTTGCATGATTGCATGAGCAAAAAACACAGAAAATTTTATTATGCATGTACCATTTGTTATCAACTTTGGAAATCGAGTCAACATTATTTTAACGTTGTGCTGTCTTGTTCGTTTGTTTTGAGGTTAACTAATGTTTCTGTTTATTTGTTGGTTACAGCGAGCAGTCAATAAATTACAAGACCATTAGTGGAAGTTCATTGCTCATCCCGAATCGCATTTTTTCCAAGGAAACTTTACTTCTTCAATAATTGAAGAAATGTGTGTTTTATAAATTTTATAATATTAATTTTTTCAACACTATTTATTTCAAATATATAAAAATGTAATATTCATTGTTATTATTCATTATGAATATAATACCAGGAACAAATAAAATAATTCTAGAAGTAGCTATTTATTTATTCATTTATTTTTATACGGGTAATCTCCATGGTAAAAAATGAATAATACAAATACAGTATTTCTGTTGCTACATTGTTTTTTGAATGTATTCAGTGAAATTCCTATAATGTCACAATTAAGATGGTTGGCTTCACATGGGTGAGAAGTATCCATAGTTAGTATGGTGATTAGGAACAGCAAAAAGATCATTGTTCCTAGTTGAATAAACAGGCACACGGAATGAGACTTCATGTAATAGGTCATTGCAATTAATGTCACCTGATATAATTTTAAATAAGGTAATGGTATCGTTATTTGATTTACAAAAAGAAAAGGTATGAAGATTCGCAAAGTCAAGTATATCCGAATAATCATATTCTCCAACTGAGAGGCCAGGTTTGAAGCCAACAAGTCTAAGGAATCTATTTTCCACTGCTTCGATATTATTTATGTACAGTATAATAAGGAGACCAGGCTGGTGACGCATACTCCAAAATAGCTCTTATATAGGCTAGGTAAAGAATTCTGGTGGCATCTACTGTTAGATCCTTGCAATTCCGGAAAACAAAACCTAGAAGTTTCAGATCACTATTGATGGTTGTGTTGATGTGAGTGATGAATGAAAGGTTCACGTCAAAAATCATACCCAAATCTCTTATTCCATTGAGCCCTCTTAGATTGATGTTGTCAAGAACACAATTGAAGATGATTTTGTTGTTTATTCTAGCAAATGTTATACAGAAGCATTTCCCTTGATTTAACGACATCCCATTGTTTTCAGACCGAACATATAGAGAATTGATAGCATTTCGTATTTTATGACAATCATAGGCAAATATAGCTTTAGGTCATCAGCAAACAGCAAGAATTTACAGTAATGAATTGAATTGCCAACATCAGGGTGAACAGCGGAGGTCCTGAATGAGAGGCCTGTGGCACTCCAAAAGGTACCAAGATTAGTTCTGATTCAAAGTTTTCGATTTTGACTACTTGTGACCTGTTCTTGAAGTAATAACCTATCCAGTAAGTAATAAAATTTGGAAAATCTAACGAAACCCACTTCTGTACCAATAGATTATGATTGACACGATCAAACGCTTTACTGAAATCAGAATAGATTGCATCAATTCGTAGGCCTGATTCAAATTTTTTTTATTATTTCATTTTGATATACTAGGAGGTTGGTAAGTGTAGATCTCCCAGCTGTGAAACCATATTGCTGCTCAATGACTAGATCCTCACAATGCCAAGTAAGTATGGGTGCTAGTAACAATTCAAAAAGTTTGGGAATCACTGAGAGCATACTAATAGGTCTATACATTTTTAATGTTTTCTTTTGCGCTAGTTCTCAACGACAAGTTGGATAAAAGTTGATATTTGGTAAGCTTGAAGTAAATATATATCTCTTCAAGAAGTATGATGGAATACCGTTAGGGCCATGGCTCAGCTTGTCTTTGAGTTCAGAGATTCCTTCGAATACTTGACCAATAGAGTAGATTATTGGGGAAATATTCATTTTATCACCAATGGGTGTCAATGGTTCCCAAGATCTAATTGTGTGTAATATAATATGTGTTGGAAAAATTGTCGGCAAAGAGATTAGCAATAGATTCCCCTGACTCACCGGTTCTGTCTGTCAAGAACATATAGTTGGGAATAGTGGTATCATTCTCTTTGCCCTCAAGAAATTCCAGAAGTAGCTGGGGTTATCATAAATGGCATTCTCTACATGAATCAAGTATAGAGTGTAGCAATGCTTGTTGTAGCAATGTTGTCTCAAGTCAGAAAAAATTGCATAATCAATAGGGTTTCTAGTCGGTATTCTAGTTTGTATTTAGCGTGAACTTTCTTCTTATTAGTGATAGGGTTTCTATTCTGTATTCTAGTTTGTATTCAGCGTGAGCTTTCTTCTTATTAGTGATTAGGTTCATGAGTTCTGATGGAAACCACTGTGGGAATCGTAACCTTCTTGATTGGAACAAAACAACTTATTGCATTTTGGATAATTTGATAAAATAAGCTGATTGCTTGGTCCAGCTCATGAAATTCGAATAATGTTATCCAATCAATCAATCAATCAATCAATTGAATAGTCAGCGTTTTTGAAGTCTAAATAAGATTCCTCATAGGTGAGAGACTGTGTAGAGTTTGGTAGTTCAATAGTACACGTGATTGCGATATGGTGATGTTTGATCTCTAACAGTAGGTCGTCTGCTTCAGTGGTAACTATAGATTCCCAATGTTCTGTAAGAATCATATCTAAATGAATATTATTTCCATTCGGAATAGAATTTGACTGTTTGAGGTCAAGAAATGCAAATGAATTTGAAATGATTCTAGCAGGGTTGACATCTGGGCAACGAAGTAGTGTTCTGAAATTTTCTGAATCTCCATCAAAGTTCCATTTGGCAAGTGGAAAGTTGTAATCACCAAAAGAAAGAGTGATGAGTTTGAAAACGAAGTGATAATGTACTCAACTGCCTGGGTATGATCGTTACAATGTTCCATGCTTGAAGCAGGAGGTATAGGTACATTTTTTCCAGGGCAAATTTCACAAACAAGTGAAAAGCGCCCCCATGAGTTTTCCACTTTGTCCAGTCCTTGCAAACCTTCACATGGAAGACTTTGAAACCAGAACCATTGACATGTTTGACCTCAGACCTACGAGTGGCTTCGATACGGGGATGACGTCTTTGTTATATGGCCTCATGGATTTTAAAGTCTCCATACATTACTAAACCACATCAACTCTATACATTCCGATCTAAAATGCACGATGGAAGTCGAAAATAACAACTCACTTCAATTCCTGGATGTTCTTATCACAAAATCTAATGATTCCTTTTCACACACTGTTTATCGAAAATCAACCCATAATAATTGCTACGTCAATGATAGTTCCATCATCCTGCCCAATTAAATTCCGTTCTGTCTGTCAGGTTTGTCAGACTCACTGACAGCCACAATAGATCTAAGGAACTAGACGAAATTGGCCCTTCTACAAAACGATTATCCCAAATCACAAATCCAAAGATCCATCCAACTTCAACAAATCCGTACCTCACATCCCAAAAAGCAGAGTTGAATGAACAAAAGGACCACACATAAGCTTTTCTTATTTATATTGAATTTCACAGATGTCTCTCACGTGATAAATTGTTAGTTGCCTACTAATTTCGAGGTCTCTTATGACGTAAACATAACTTGAATATTGTTTAAAAGCATTCTGTGTCTTTTCCGAGTTCTCTCGTCGTGAAAATATCTCAAACTTGAAATTTTCTGCAATCAAGTGGATTTTATCGCTGAAAATTTAAATTTTAGCATGACGTATTTTCCTCAAAATTTCTCAATCGAATATGAGTACTGAGCATAAATAAGGATTGGTATATGCGTAATTCACATGGCATACTCGATTAAAGAATGCTATATAACTCACCCAAAGTCCAAAGTCGTACCAAAAATCTTTTGATTTCGAATAAATTTACATAGTTATTGTAAATCGAATGTGGAGGTGACCTCTGCAAGCATTTATTTCATCAACATTTGTGTTATTGTTTTTGTGATGCACTGTTTAGAACCTTTGGTGTAGTAGTTAATATCACTGGGGTTTTTTCCCAACACCAAACCGTTATTTTAACACTTCGACACGTGTTTTGATCACCAAGTGATCATCTTCAAGAGGAAGATCGAACTGTTTGATCTTCCTAACCCTAACCTTCGACCAGTACAGAAAAATGAGAATTTCAAATGTAAAAATGAAAGAAAAATATAATATTTGCAAGATAAAATAATATAGAACTGAAATATTCTAAAAAAGTAATTTAAAACAATTCCCCAACGACTATCGTTTAGGATCATTTACTCAGCAGAACCTTAAAAGCTACCTAGGAATGCTTAGTAGAGAACTTGATGATTGAATTCATGTTACAAATTTCTAGTTGTGGCTTATGATGATTCGAATCTGCCTGACTGACCTCTTGCACACATCATTCCGTTCCAGAAATTTTCCGAAAAATCTAGAACGATTGAAGATATATGAAATAGATTTTATAGAATAATCAAATGATTTATTTCATAGGGGGTTATGAAATAAAATCAGGGAGAATATGCCAGATAATTTGTAAAGTGGGTATGTTGTTTTAAAGCGGTGTTTGGAAGCCGTATGACTTTCCATTTCTCGCAAATCTCTTTGAAAGACTTCACCGACTTACATTCTTATAAAACATGTTGTATTGTCTGCAGCTTAGGTCTCTGTTATACAACCCTTTTTTGTTCAGGTGTCTTCTAAATGGACAGTGTCCAGTGAATTACTCTGCAATATTTCTGAGCCTGTTTCGACTCGATACAACCAGTTTTTTAGTACATTTCTCAGGTGATCTTCTGATTCTCATAGGCCGATTCACTGACCTCTTTCTGTATAACAGATTTTGGTACCCCTACAGAAGTTCAGGTCCATATTTCGAGTTAATGATCAATGCTTAACAAACTCATAATTTTGTTTCTGTCTCTTAGCGATTCAAGAGTGTCCTGATACTGGGACTATAGTTATTTCATTCGTATCTACCATTTTCTCAGTTCTTCATTGAATTCCCAAACCAGTCTGTTACTCTTGATGTCATCAATGGCCAAAATGCAGAGTGTCTGTATATTGCATATTGGCATACACTTGGGTAGCTGTAATAGAATTTATACTCGCACAGTATATTCCATCTCCCGTCCTAAGTTCGATTTTCACCTCGTCTATATACCAGGTGTTTCTGCTGAGTACGTAACGCTGGAGTTTATGTCAAAAGTTTACTTCGGTGTTACGTGGTCCATCTGTGGATTTCGAAGAAGGCACATTATATCCAAAACAATTTATTTCCTGACACACACCTAGCCCACCTCACTTCCATCCTTTTACCGGAGGAATATGTCATATGGGTTCTTCCGTCGAATTTAAAAACACCATATATATTCAACAGGGCTTTGATGAAATAGTATTTCCTTCAGGTTTGGAATATAAAT